TTGTTGAGCATAGTCATTTCTAGCACACCATCATTCCTGCAGGCTTTCTTAAACCTATGTGTTGTTGACTTGCACCCACCTCGGGTGACCGAAGGTGCTCTACATCCAATGTTGTTGTGTACGTAATAACTAATGTCAATGCTTTGTCATGACGGTGAAAAACTAAACACTCAATGTCTTAAATCTACCTGCAATAATCTGCAAACATCCACAAGTGAAAACTACTTATATTACATATAATAATAATACATATTTACAGGGTACACAACTGTCTGCATTCCTGCTGCCTTGAGGAAGTAATGGGAAAAGGTTCGGCAGAAAAGAATATGTTCCATGTCTCAAAATACAAGTTTAATCTGCTTCTCTTTAGCTGCTAGATACTGCAAAATGAGACTATAAAACAAAAATATATATAAAATAAAATATAAAGTCTGAAGTGCTCAAATACAGAAGCAGGGTAATATCCGAGGACTAAATGGATAACACACAAAGCTCTTTCTGTTTATGGTTATTGGTCGAATTTTTACCTCCACAGCACAATGGCATATACCGAATCCTTTCCAATCATTTAAGATTTGCTGAAAATTCTGCACAAAGCATTTGACTTCTTACAAGTGAAATGCATCCAATTTACTTGTACAGTACTTCAAAATGAGAATGTTTAATATGTTAAAATTTCTCAGCAAATATACAAATTAGGTGTTAAAAATATGACGACGTGAAACCCTAATTACAATTGCGACAAGAGAACACTGGACAGGCAACACCTGAGCATGTGTGTGTTGGGCAGACCCAAGACCAAGTGCTGCTGCTTATCAGCGTGGCCCAAGAACGCTAACATACAAAAGTAAGAAGTCGTCAGTGGGAGACAAGACTTCCTCTTAAGAGACCCTAATCTCTCTCAAGCTATTGCTCCAGTCCACATCCAACACAAATCTCATGTAATATATTGATATATTAAATTATATATCTCTTCATAAAAAGTTTACTACCATTACATTAGAATAATATTAAATTGTATCTAAAAAAGGCAATTTTTTATAAATAGCTTAAAAATTTTTAACAAATTCGCCTAAAACGAACAAAGACTCAAAACTCCAACATGCCGACCAATACCAATTAGTTTACCTGATCTTTCATTCCCCCTTATTTTAAATTTTCTTACTCCTCTTTTTATCATTCTACCTTTCTTCTAAAATATGTTTATGAGCTTTATAATTTATATAATGCTATGCATTTTTATAATGAGCTCTGCATCTGTCAACCAAAGACTTGCACTTACATATGAATCATGGTTAATCCAATACCACATATGTGACCCCACCTACCCCCTCCCCTGTACTTTGTCAACAATCCAACACCACATACATGACCCATCAGTACATGTCAACAGTCCATACTAGATACACTATTTTTCATAAATTCAATAACTAATATATTTATCAATTTACAATTTTTATGTAATTTCCCAATAGAATATAATTAAAAGTACTGTATACATGTAACATTAAATTGTTGTAAAATAACAAAATGATTATTTAAAATTAAGATTTTTTTTAATAAAAATGACTGGATGAAATATCTAAAATGCAGGTATTCGAGATGAAATAAAATACATACTGTACGGTATATACAGAGTCCTTGCTATATATATATATACTGTATATATATACATTGCCACATTATACATTGTTTCACATACAATTCTGTTGCAACCTATGGATCAATGGAGTCTTGGTATGTTTACCAGGCCAACATTAACGGACTATATCATCGTGAAGGCCACCGACAACACTTGGCAAGATGTGATGATCAAATCACACACCAGAAGATGAAGAGACGACGATGTTTCAATTGTCGTGAATCGATTTGATAATGGTCCAGGATGGACCGAAACGTCGTCATTTCCATTTTCTGGTGTGTGGTTTGGTCATATTGTTGGCCACTTTAAGGCGACTCATCGTTTGCACGTGGCAGGATGTTATGGTGTCCAATATGAATTGTGTGGACAGATGGTTTACCCAAAAACCATTTTTCAAGTTTAGATGAAAAGGCAGACAACTGTTCTCTTTTGAGTAACACCTCCACTACTGACCCCAAACAGGCTTCAATACATAAGCAAGCTCAACCATCAATGTTGTCAAATAAGCGTTATATTTACAAATTACATTCAGTTTTAAATTTTTAGTATTTCAGATTTTTTTTTTATACAAAGGACTCTGTATATTGTGCTTGTAATTCATTTTTATCAAGATCAATAAAAATGTCACATTTATTAATACATAAAATAATTTCTAAAAGTGATGACCAAATCTCACATCAGAAAATGAAGAAATGACAATGTTTCGTTCCGCCCTGAACCATTATTAAGTTAGGTAATGTAAAGAGAGTGGAAGATTGTTGTTGTTATTTAAGATTCGCTACTCAGAACAATAAGTTCCAGTAGCACGGGCTATGGTGAGCCCGTAGAGTGTGGAAGAGACAAGGCATATATATATATATATATATTTGTATACAAGGCAAGGAAGTGAGATGCAAGCTGAAGAGCAAGTAAGAGAAAGAAAGAAGAGTAAAATGATAGGTATGAATAAGAATGGTAAGAATAGGATGAAGAAGTACGAATAAGATGAAAGAAAAGAAAAAGATTTCAAAGGTAAGAGTAACAAGGTCAGAATAAGAGGAAGGTGCAAATAAAATGAAAATAAACAAAAATGGGTTAGAATAACAGAAAAGAGAAAGAATAAGAAAATCATGTAAAGTCAAGGTAAGAAGGAAAAAAGGTAGAAGAAAGAAAAAAGGAAAAATAAATAAGTGATAAATAAAGAAAAACTACAAGAGGCCAAATAATGAAGAAAAGGAAGAAACCTAGTACTGTAACATGAGAGACAGAAAAGAAAGAGCCTAGAGGCGGCAAAACTCACGTCAGATCATGTTTGTTAAGATAATTGGAGCATTCGACTATGTACTGTGAAAGAGAAGAGTCAAGAGCAACTGAGCCGGGACTAAGGTTCATGTTGGGTATGCTGTATATCCGAGCTGATTCAACAAGACAGCGTCTGTGAAGAGTAGAGGCAGGAAAGATTATTTTACAAGATGACCAATCTATAGGATGATTCACGTCCCTAACACGAGAGAAGAAAGCAAACAAATGATTCTCTCTTCTGTCACGTTAGGGACTCTAAATCAACCTAAAGATTGGCCGTCTTCTAAAATAACCTTCCCTGCCTCTGCTCTTTACAGACGCCGTCTTGTTGAATCGGCTCCGATACACAACATGCAGCTTGGTCCAGGCTTTGCTGCTGTTGAATCTTCCCTTTCAGAGTACACACTTAAACGCTCCAAACTTCTTAACGAACATGATCTGACTTGAGTTTTGCCTCCTCTAGTCTCTCTTTCCTTTCTGTCTCTTGTGTTACTAGGTTTCTTTCTTCTCTATTATTTGTCATCTAGCATCTTTTATTTAGTTTATTTTCCTTCCTGTTTTTCTTATTTATACCTTTTCCTATTTGTCTTTCTTTTTTTCCTTACTTCTTACTTTTCCTTTATATGAGTCTTATTTGTTCCCTTTCCTATTATTCTTACCCCTTTTTCTGTTTCTTACCTTCATTTTATTCTTGCCTCTCTTCTTATTAAGATCTTTCATCTTGTTCGCAGCTTCCTCAAACTCTCACCTTTCAAATCTTATACTTTCCTTTCATCTTATTCTTACTTTTCATCCTATTCTTACCATTCATATTGTTCTTACCTTTTTCTTTCTCTTACTTGCTCCTCACCTTGCATCTCGCTTTCTTGCCTAATACATTTCTCTTTTCCACTCTCTTTCCATTACCTCACTTGATAATGGTTCAGGATGGACCTAAACATCATCATTTCTTAATTTTCTGATGTGTGGTTCAGTCATCAATTTGTAAAGTTCAGCTTATGGTAGGAGGGCAGTTGGCCAGGGGCCAGATTCACGAAAGAACTTACACAAACACTTACGAACGTGTACATCTTTCCTCAATCTTTGACGGCTTTGGTTACATTTATTAAACAGTTTACAAGCATGAAAACTTCCCATTCAACTGTTGTTATTGTTATAAACAGCCTCTTGGTGCTTCAGAGCTCATTAACTGTTTAATAATTGTAAACAAAACCGCCAAAGATTGAGAAAAGATGTACAGGTTCGTAGGTGTTTGCGTAAGTGCTTTCGTGAATCTGGCCCCAGATTCACTTGTGGATGCAGTAGTCGCACTGCAGCGTCACTTGCCAATTGACGGAATTTTCTGTGCTCCAAGTTGTCCTTCCCATACATTCATCGATTTTTCTATATTGTCCCCACTCTTGTGCCTTTGTTATCTTTTCATAAACCTTCCTTTCTGTTGTCTCACTTATTGTGCTCTTGAAGACACTCTTCATTCTTTTGTCTTGGTAAATGGCACATGATCACTTTCGTAAGTCAATCCATCATGTAGAATTCTTAACTAAATGTTTCAGATGCCCCTAGACTTTAGCCCCCTGAAGGCATTTCAGTTGTCTGAATAAGACTCTTATAAGTGGCCATGACTCAAGGATGTGGGATCCCACAAGGAAGAGGGCATCGAAGAAATATATACACACTGTAATTGAATTTACTATATGATTTGTGATGAGCCAATTGATTAAAAAAAATTGTTTTCAAGCTGATCACTCCTTAATCAAAAAAATAAAGTACATGCAATTCACAAGTTCAAGTCCACTTACAGCCGCAGCCACTATGTCTTATGCACTCGTAAGTGGCTCAATATTTTCGGTTTAATAAAATCCTAAACACTAAAACATATTTGTTGGCAAATGCCATGAAATCTTTGTAATAAATATTATCATCAATTCCAATGTTTTCTCCACTTAAATCACTTTTAGATGGATACACTGAACAAGCTGTTCAGTGTTGTCGTCAACTTCACTGCCTCCTGCCACATGTCTTTCACTGATAACCTCTACCGTTGCCCAACTACTAATACATCTCTACATGACCAAGATTAAATTAAATAATTTTGTTATTCACCTTGTGGCGAGTTCCAATATATGCAAGATAAATTCAATTTTTTTGAGATCACTTGCCTGAGTGATGACTCAGACAATCTACTAGGTTGCCCAATATTAAAAAAAATTAACCAATGTCAATGTGCATGCCGATAAATTTATATTATAGCCTCACCAATACCCGGATTTTCTAGATATAAGCAAAAATTTAAGCCAAAATGCCATTGTGATGAAACACACAATATTGTCTTCATTAAATTCGGGCCTAATCTGGAGAATCCTGTATGCCCTTGTTTATGTTACAGGTACAAAGTTTTGTGAGGCTAAGTTCCAGGTATAAGAGTGTATGCATAAGTGTTTGAGTATGTTTCAATGTGCCACATCGACTAAATATGAGTACACTGTGAATGTACTGTTGGGTAAAACCATACTGATTAATAGTTGGCCAACTGAGCTAAAATATTAAGTCAGATACTTTGCCCATGTGGCAGGCTGATGTCAGTCTTTGTTAACATCCAGCACCAGAGAGTTGAACACCTCCTGGTCACCCAGGTCGCCAAGAGTGGGCTGGAAGTCTTCCTCCAGTCCACCACCACTCACATTCTCCAGAGACAGACCTGACCGATTGAGTGCATTCAAAGTCAGCATGGAGGCCGGGCTGATGAGTGGCCCTTGAGCACCACCACCATCTCCCTGCTGGCCTCTCAGGTTGTCCATGCAGCAATTACCCCCACCGAGAGTAGGCTCGTGCCTAGATATCTGCTCATCCATGGTTCTCATGCCTCCATTGTCAGTTTGGTAATTAATTGAAAATGGATTAATATTTGGAGGAACCTGCATGGGATCAGACAGAGTGGAAAGATCCGCAGAATGATTTTCTGGTAAAGCTAAAGACTCCATACTGTCAAGTCCAACTGTAACACCACCATCATTTTGTAAATTTACATCTAACATAGGATCAATTTCCAAATTATAGCTCTCTGTAAAGTCATTGTATTCACTGGGAACTGGAGTTGGGGCATAAGATGAAGGCTGAGACACACAGCAGTCAGAAAATGAGAATTGTTGGTTGACAAGAGGGGTGTTTGGCTGTGATTTTGGAAAAGTTTCTGGATTGCACGATGGCATGTTGAGCATCTGCAAGAGTGGAACTGACTGGGGTCGGTTTGAATTTCCTGAAGGTGCACCGCTGGGTCCTGGCTGAGAGTTGGTCATTACACTAGATATTTCTTGGGCCAATGGATCAGCTGGGAATGCTGGGGGTTGAGGCTGGTAGTGAATAGTGGGCCCAGCAGACATATGGCGACGACGCAAGTCATTAATTCCGCTCCCGACAGGTTGCTTATTTTTGAGCATGTGGTGCAGCATGGAGGCTGATGGAAGCTGTAAGCTCATAGAATCATGCTGCTGATGTACTGAACCATCCTGCACCAGGGGAGACAAAGGAGCAGAAGAGGGTGATGGTGGAACACTTCCAGAAGAGTGTCTAGAGCGAAACTTTCCTCCACGACGGCTTGACATATCATCCGAAGTATATGGAGCATGTCTAAATGCTGGAGCACCCGAAGAGTGACGAGAGCGGCAAGTAGGAGTGTATGGGGTACGCAGATTCTGGCTCGAGTTATGGCGTGATCTTGGAAATAGTGGTGTTGTAATTGGAGACATAAATGGAGTATTGCATTCTGAAGCAACTGGGTAATTAGGCTGATCTGGAGTAAACGGTGTACTGCGGGGTGTCACATAGGTTGAGCTAGTTTGGCCAGAATTATGTCGTGATCTAGGCAATGGGGTATTACGAGGAGACATGAAAGGGCTAGCATTAGCACTAGAGCACTGTGACATACCCTGTGCTTGGTCAAGGTTACTACTTATTGGAGTAAAATTAAACTGTGTCCTACGAGTATTTGGGCTGGGTGGGACTGAACCTACAGTTTGACCACCCATCAATGGGTTTAATGCTTCTCCTCCATCAATTGAAGGCTGAAAACTTACTCTCCGCCTCATTCCTCCAGATATAGATACATCTTGATCCAACATATCTGAATCATTCACAAGAGACCTTGCACTCCCCCCAACACCACCCTGAGCTTGACCCCCTGGCAGGTTTCTCTGCAACAATTTACGCAACTCTGACAACTGACTGGACTTCTGCACATCATCCAAGTCCACTGCATTCTTGTGAAAATATTGCATGAGTTCATCTTCTGCCTCCTGATTATTTGTACAGTTATTATTATTTAATCCTTGCTGCTGTGATTCCTTCTGTCCATGATGCTGGGGTGCCGACTCAACTATGGTTGAACCTCCAAAGCTATTGGTTAATAAAGTTTCTGGCCTAGACTGGGAGAGGTCCTCTGTCACTCCACTGAGAACATCTGCCCACTGTGAACCCCCTGTAATTGACCCTTGATTACTCTCTGTCATCTTAGGCTGGATGGCTTTAAAACGGGCTTTAGGGGATGTAGTTTTGGGAGCTGTGGAAGGCATGATGAGGAACGTCTTCTTTGAGGGATTTGTTTTTGGAATTGGTACTTTACTACCCAATGGTTTCTTTACTTCCGATACAAAACTATTAACAATATTACTAATGCTACAATTTCTTCTAATTGGCTGATGAGAATGTCCCACATTTGTTATTACACTATTACTACTACTAAAGTTTCCATTCTTCCCATCGACATTAGATTTGGCATCGAGGATCTTATCATCAGTGAGAGAGTCGAGAAAATCTAGTTGCTGTTCTTGCTTAATGGATGCAATACCATGCACACTACTTGTGTTGATGCTAGTGATGTTGTTATGAGCACCATTGGGAAGCTCAGAGGTCAAGCTATCACAGTTGCCATTGGTGGTTGTAGTGGTGGTGGTGGTGGTGATTGTGGTGGCTATAGTGGTGGCAGTAGGAAGATGAGCTCCAGAACCAGGACTGGCCTTATTGTTTGTAGCAGTAACCGAGGTTCCATTTGATAGAGTCTCACCCGAGGGATTTCGAGATGCTCCACTGCGTCGTCTAGATTTTGGTCTTTCATTATTACATTTATTTACTGTGGGTTGCTGTTCCTGGAAAAATAAATAGACTTAAAACCTTTGACACAATCAATAGTAAGGTTACAAGAAACTCTGCCAAAAGCATAAAAAAGGAATTACAAACACAGTATTAGTAATATATAATCCATTTTTACATAATATTTACCTGGTACTCAATAAATGCTGTTCATCTTACTAGCAAAAATACAAGATATATATATATATACAGTACTGTATATATATTAAAAAAAAAGAGACCAGCTTTGAATGTAATAAAACGCTTCCGTCTGGTGGGTCTCTCATAGCATCCCGAGCATAGAACTCCCTCCATTACCTTACTTTTTGTTAGTAATGTCCATGTCTTACAAACCCCATCAGGGCTCTTAATGAATCAATTCTGCTTGCTTACCACAAGCCAAAACTAGAATATGGCTCCCTAAGAGAGAGGCTAATAGTAAGAAGTTTATGATGTAAAAACACAGGCCTCGGTTTAAAAGAATCAATTGCAACTATCAGGCACGACAGAGTGGCCAACGTCTATGCAGTACCTACATGGTCGAGGCCCGATCCTTGACCAGGCCTTTTTTTTTTTTGTTACACATCCCCAGGAAGCAGCCCGTAGCAGCTGTAACTCCCAGGTACCTATTTACTGCTAGGTGAACAGGCGCATCAGGGGTGACAGAATCTGTGCCTATTTGTTTCCGCTTCCACCAGGAATCGAACCCGGAACCTTAGGACTACGAATCCCAAGCGCTGTCCACTCGGCCATCAGGCTCCCGTGTTGGGTGCTGAGAGTATGCACCTGAGCTGAGCATTCCATTTCAATTGATATCTCAAACATCTTTAAGTACAGGAATCCTAGGAGATGTATGGGAAAAGCCAAACATAGATGCAGTGTACAAAAATGGTAGCAGAGGTTAGTTACAGCAAATGATTAGTTATAGACCAGTATTGTTTACAAATGTTGTAGCCAAAACACTATTAAAAAAGTTAAAAACCAAATGGGTAGAATATTTGGAAAGAAATGACACAAAAACAGACAGTGTAACTCTCGAACAGGAAGATCCTGTGCAACAAACCTGCTTAGTTTTATGATAGAGACTTTATAGGAAAGTGATGGTTGGGTTGGCTGTGTTTATCTGGACCTAAAAGACGCTTTTGACAGTCCCACACAAGAGGTTCTTATGGAAACTAGAACATACTGGAGGGTGACAGACTGCTGACATGGATTAAAAATGTTGTGACAAAGATGAAGGCAGTAATTAGAAGCAATGCAACAGACTTGAGAAATGTTATTAGCAGAGTCCCACAGTTCCACATTACACTAACCAAGCCTTATTTTGAAACTACCAAAATATCTTTTATCAAACGAGCAATGTACCTGAAGCTTTCTTTTCTGTTCTCGAATGTGTTCCCGCTCCTGAAGTTTGCGCTGTAGCTGAAGCTGCGTCTCTCTGTGCTTCCCGCCTGCGGCTCCACTGCTCACCAACACTCCTGCCAAGCATTGAAGTTGCTTGTCATTGGTTCAAATAATTTAGCTATCTAGGTTAGAGCTTAAAAAAAATCTGAAAAATAATCACAGGTAAACATACAGATTTTTTTTTAATAACACTGGTTTGGTTCAGTATAGTAGTCAGTTCACACAGGAAATTGTGTTGCCTGTGTCGGTCCTTGACAATTCAAAAGTCGCACCTCAGAAGTGTCAATGTTCATATGTTAGGCAGGGGTCAGGTCGTGTCAGGTAACCTTGCCCTGTGCTAAGCTGAAAATTATAGACAGTTGCCAGTGTCTTTCCTTTGTATGAGCCGCATTGTCCTGTGTACTTCCTGGACTGCTGGCCAGTTCCGGCACTATTCTGCAGGTAGCCCATCCTCATGATTTGACACTAAATAGTGCAACTGTTTTGCCTAACCAGAAAAGTTAGAACGTAAACGACCCATCTAACCCATCCAGGCCAATGCTCATAAAACACTTGTATACTAATACTGAATACTACGTATTAATACTCTTAAACTAAGGTGCTTTAATTTAAAAATGTCAAAATGCAGTTTTGACACTTTGGTCGGTTCTGTTAACAAATGTGATACATCAGGTGATAGGACAGGTTGGCAAAACACAGGCGAGTTTCATCCTTTTACCGGTACAGTACATGTATCTTGCATGTGCTTCCGCAATGAGGGACGTCTTAGGGAGCAACAGTGTGGTACACCCCAGACATCACACTGAGTGTATAATACAAGGAAAGCTACTTTTGAGCAGGACACACGGTTGCTCTCGGACCCTCCTTTCAGCCCTTTTTTCCTGTGCTTTGGGGTTAGTTCAAAATTTAAATAGACTTGAGCCAGTGGACTCTTGTTATTGTAGAGGTGCTGCCACCTGGTGATGGTTGGAGGATGCAACCAGCTACACCAACAAGTAGTTAGCAAGAGAGCTACTTATCTTGAGGTTATCTTGAGATGATTTCGGGGCTTTAGTGTCCCCGCGGCCCGGTCCTCGACCAGGCTTTCACCCCCAGGAAGCAGCCCGTGACAGCTGACTAACACCCAGGTACCTATTTTACTGGTAGGTAACACAAGCATAGGGTGAAAGAAACTCTGCCCATTGTTTCTCACCGATGCCTGGGATCGAACCCAGGACCACAGGATCACAAGTCCAGCATGCTGTCCCTCGGCCGACCGGCTCCTTTTCTAGACTTGGAAGACTTTCTAATACCAAGTAGCAACTTGAAAGGCTCCGAGTGTACGGCATACAGTATGAATGTTTTGGAGAACCCTCGGGGCTGGATTAAGTATTCACCAGTGACCCGAGCATCAACAGAACCTTACAGGGGCAATTTCCTCTGGTTCTGCTGAGCCAGAGGAAATTGTTGACCATTTTCAGACTGAGCATGATCTAGTCCTTAGAACACATGTGGTCTAGCATAGTGATATCACAACAACATGATGAATCTATGAGTAATATTGAGGCCATATGATGGAATCGAACCTGCATCCCTGAGGAATTTAGTAGGGATCTAGGTATAAAGTTAACCAAGTGTCCTGCTCAGAGAGGAGCTAATATATATAGCACACTGAAAGCTTTACATTTAATAACTTATTTAATGATAATGAAAATATTACAAACATTTCTTAAATTTTAATGAATACCTCATACCAGATTGCAATTTTCCACATTCGAGTTCTAATATTAGCAGCGGCGGTTAAATAAGTGGCTGTACTGGTATGAATTGAGATGATTGTGTATACACTCACCTGATCTCTTATTCAGGAGCTCAGCACTGAATCAAGATCACAGTAAATGGCACATCATGTAACACCAAGCCTTGATGAAGAGATGGGAAGCCAGAGATAGTCAATTAATACAGTCTGACTGGAAGTTGCTTTAAGCCTTTCACCACTGACTCCCATACACAATAATAATAAACACTAATACTGTGACACTTGCTTCACCTGAGTGTATAAAAAAGTATGATACAAAAGTTATAAGATAAAATGTAATACTTATATAAAAATTATATAAGAGCATACCTTGCTTCTGATCTGCGACGGAGAGGAGAGTGAAGGCGGCCATGGATCGGCTATCAACATAGTTCTTCTGGACAAGGTGCAGTGCCAGGTCACGGATACACTCAAACTTCACAGAGCACAGCTTTTCGGCCCACTCCATAATCAGGCAGCTGGCGGCTCGCTCGACCTCGCTTTCATCAACCACACAATCCACGCCTAACTATAGAAAGAATTTCAACAAATGTCAAAATCACTTAATAAAAGGCATATATGGACACAAAATTAATCATTTAGAAAAATTCTAGTTTCAGTATATAGCTGAAATTCATTAATAAAAACTTGTGAAAAGAAAATAGTCTTTTTGTGTATATGAAAAGCCCTTATTTATGGGTGGGTCACTTGCTTTTTTCCTAAGGATAGTTTTCTCCATTTCAAAATAAAGTGTATTATGTGGACTTGGAAGGTGACAGCATGGTACCAACACTGCAGTGAATTTTTTAAGCAGTTACCAGCAGGGTTATAATTATATTAAGAAAGCACTGAAGGATACAATCTAGCTGTAATGATCTTTAAAGTGTCCATTTTAAATAAACTCAAAAGCCCCTCTCCAAGCCTTCTTTAACATCATGGAGATTGCCAAGGAGCACTGGCACAATATCCACCTGGTCTGCCCCACCACTTATACAAGCCACTACCATATATACATCATGACACTTCCAGTCACCCTCCCACACAGTAAGGCACAATACAACATTCTTCTCCCTTTTGTTGAAACTTTTAATACTTTGGGTTCCTGATGACGCTCTCGGCGTCATAAAAACAACACACGCAGAGTGGGTGATGACGCTCTCGGAGTCATGCATTAATTTTTTGTTATTCTTATTCTTAAGTATAAACACCATGAGTGAGAGAGTTTAACAGTAGATTGTGTGCTCACCGGCAATGCTCGGCATACCTTCTGGTGTGATGCGGGTGGCCCGTTGGGCATACCAGTGTTAAAACAGACATTTTCATGCTAAAAATCTAATCAGTACAGCCTCTCTCCTGTTTCTAACCCACCATAATCACCATTATGCTATTTTCTGTTATATCTCCTAATCTCAATGTGAAGCCTTGCATATATTTTTTGGGGATGGTAAGTATACTAATTCCTTATAATTCCCACAATCTTCATTACTACCCTTTTTCTTGTGTATAGGTACCACAATGGTCTTTGTCCAATAGTCAAGCAACTTATCCTCCTACCACAACATCTGACACACATTTGACATTACTTATGTCCAACATTGCCTCAGAGTAAGCTGGTTGTTACCATCAAATGGATACCTGTAATAAGTATTTTAAACGTCTTAATTTCAAGATGTTAAACATTGGAAGATAGTTAAAACACCTAAGGATAAGTACTGTATAGACTATCCCTAAAAGCCAGAAGTGTCCTTAGGGGAAAGAATGGCATTAATACTAGTATACTGAAATATGAATTCACAATTTCAGAATGTTTGGTAATATGCTTATTGTTTGTGAGTGTGTGTCGAAGCATTATATTATATATATATATATATATATATATATATATATATATATATATATATATATATATATATATATATATATATATATATATATATATATATACATATATATATGTATATATATATATATATATATATATATATATATATATATATATATATATATACATATATATATGTATATATATATATATATATATATATATATATATATATATATGTATATATATATATATATATATATATATATATATATATATATATATATATATATATATATATATATGAACACATTGTATTAAACAGGGTGAGAATAGCTTGAGCTACTTCATCCCTTTGTTTGTATTTATACCTCAATAAACTTATTTCAATTTCAATTCACAAAATTTAAGTAAAATCCTCACCATATTTTTTTTCGTCATGTTATCATTGAGATCAGGCAAGTCAGGAGGGTCAAGGGCCCATTTCTTACGCAGGCCAGAGTAGCAGTATTTGGAGGCACCTCGCTGGCCAAGCCGTCGTGGTCTCACCCCTGGAAACACCTGCTTCATCACTTTCCCAAAGTCTGCTGTACTCAGAGCCTTGATGTTGTTGAGGGTGCAGTAGTGCCTGAGAACATTGTTTTAATAACTTATTTATGAAATACAATTCATATATAATATATTTTGCTATAGCCTGCATATAGCTCTGGTATCTTATTCCTCCTTTTTAATTTAATACTAATATAAACTCACTCATTTCTGTCTTAATATATCCACCATTGAACATACATCCTTTGCTTCACTAGTTCTCCCTATGCCCACAATGTCTGCCAACAGCTTGTAATGGCACAGCAACTTGTCTGGCACAAAAGTAGCTGTGCTTGAAAGGGTGCTTGTTGACATGAGGTGATTGTGATGCAATCCTGGAAATGTGAGTATTTATTGTACAGAACAATACTCATTAGAAAGGAGGAGGCTGGTACATGTTGTACTTGTGTGTGATATTTCCCGAGAGATGTGGGAAGCATTACAAACTAACTTTACTTTACGTTTCTCACAATTTAGGTTTTTCCACTTCCTCAGACACTTCTGTTCATGATTGGTGGTTGAAAATCGAGTAGGGCAAGATTTTGGCCACTTTTCCTTACACCTGCTGTCTCTGTTCGCCTAGAGGTACAGTAATTAAATACCTAGGAGTTGAGCAACTGTTATGGGTTGCACCCTTGGCAAGGCCAGTTGACAGCCTGGGAGGACCTATGAGCCTTAAAAGCTTCCTGTCCTTACAATGGTAAACCATAAAGTACACTCTATACGATATATATAAGTCTACATAGTGTGTATGCTATGGTAACTGGACAAGTATTTTTTCAAGATGTTTCCCAATCCCATGCAAGTGTACATGTGATGTACAGTACACTCAACAGTCATACAGATTAACATCACAATTATATAGGCTGCAGGGTAGCTTTTCAGCAATCCATTAATCATGTAAGACTCTTAAGTGTGGTAGCATTTACCTTACATAAAAACACAAGTTATTCACTCACATGTATTCATTGTAGACCTCACGTTTGGGCAGGGACACCTCACTGTTCATCTCCAAGTGGGTTCGTATCCATGTTATCGTCAACTGTATTTCACAGCGGCTACCCAAGGGATTCAGTGGACTGAAAGATATAATTTGAGGGTTTTTTGGGGGGGCGTGGAAATCATCAGGAAATCCATCAACTTGCATGCTATCAAGTACAAAGTTTAGTGTTAAATGTTCCAATAGAATACATACCACATTTTCACAGTTCTGAACTACAGATTCTGCAAAATTTATGCAGATGATACTCTAATATTTATGGCAAAAACAAATTAGAGCTATGCTCCGATAAGTATATACAGTACAGTATATCCAAGGGGGAACACTGTACAAATAATGAAGACAGCACACTGCTGAAGAATGTTGGCATATGCTGAGTAAGCAATAAAAGCACGAGTACAGTACATATAAAATATATATATACTGTGTTTATATGTATACAGTATATATATATTACAGTATATTATGTGTGTATGTGTGTGTGTGTTTATATATATATATATTTATTTTACTTATAAATTTATTTTGGTGTAAATACACAAACTATACAGATTACAGAAAAGACTAAGTATACACACTGTTTGAGCGGGTCGGTGTCTGGAGGCCTTCCGACGGGCAGTTTGAGGTAGAGTAGGAACTTCTCCACGTCCGACAGCTGGCCAACCTGCTGAACGAGGCTCTCCACCAAGCATTTGCTCTCCAGGCTGAAACACAAGCCTCTACATTATTCTTCTACATTAATACTCCATAATAAAATATAGCATGCCAATAATTACTGTAGTTCCTGAAATATAAGTGCCTTTGTCCCATTATTCAGCACATTACTGTTAATTGCCTATTCAATTATTTATTGAATAGGCAATTAACACCAGTTAATTGCCTATTCTAATTAACTACCAGTTAGTCACTCAGTTATTGAGTGACTAACTGGTAGACTGTACCAAAGTTGAACTCTCCGATGAATAAATTCACTTGAATGTGGATCTGAAAGTATCCTTGCTTAGATCATGCCTCATTTGAATTGATTTTATCTCAAATAAGTACAGTATCTCTATAGCTGCTTATATAATATTTATGAATTATCTCCCTTATGCTTGTACTTCTTATCCTGACCCCTTCCAAGTGCTATATAGTCGTAATGGCTTAGCGCCTTTCCTGATAATTCCCTTCCTTCCTTATCACTTTACCTAATTTAAATGTCATTTACCATACTAGTCAACTTTGAGTACTAAGCCTGGATGATGACGTCTTAAGAGTCTAATAAAATTAACGAATTGTTAACAAAACAATTAACAAACTCGTGGATATCCAACACATGTTTCTAAGCGATTTTTTAAAGTAAGTAAATACAATAATGAGTGATGTGTTACATACGTCGCCCGAGGAGTGAAGTTAGCAACGTGTGAGAGGTGACACATCTAGCAGGAAGTGCAGAGATACGTGTGCGTGTGTAGTGCAACCAGTAGGGTGTCAATAAGTACACGGAGAGGATTGATAGGCAGTACCGGGTTGCTACAGGGAATGTAAATGAGGACAGAGTGTAATGAGTTCAGGCTCAGGTGGTGGAAGGGAAGTGAAATGAAAGGAATTGTTATAGGAATGTTGTAAAAGGCTGAAAATTTATAAAGTAATGTATGGTAAATTGAACAATATTGTCACATTCAGTTAAACTTTAAAGCATTTCTGCAATGCAGATTAAGTGCAGGAAAAATTATTAAAGGAGCTAGGAAGAAACAAAGCAGTTGGCCCAGATGGTGTTTCATTTTGGGCTCTAGTTGAGCACTCCCATTTCAATTGATACTTCAGACATCCTTAAGTACAGAAATATTACATTACATTACATTATTTATATATTATATTATATAATATATACAGTATAATAAAAAAAAAATATATATATATACTGCATATATATATATATATAACTTTTGTGTATATATATATATATATACACTATATAACTACACTTTTGTAATTACACACAAAGAAACAATACAAGGCAGAAGATGTGTAAGTGGCCAAGATTGCAGTCGTCAGATATACCCCGAGATACACCTGATCATCTATAACCTTGACTGCTTCAAGTAGGCTTCTCCCACAATCTCCCACACTCGTCACAGCTCAGCATTGTCTATTTCAACACCCATTTCTTCTTCTAATCAGTTGTAATTTTTTTTAGTAAACATAAGCAATAGTGAAATTACAAAGCTGGTTTGTAACCTTGTTTTAAAGCACTAAATAATATATTATGGCATTCTAATATTAGAATGCGATTCTTTAAAGAAAAAGTTACAGACTAGCTTACTGTTGTATATGCTTATTAAAAAAATTTATGATAATGATTTGGAGAAATAGTGTTGGAATTGATAGTGACGAGTCGTGACGCGCGAGTGAGAGAGATTACAGGAGAGAAGTGTCATGATATTCTCCCACCAAGGCTGACTGAGGTACAGTATATCTCCACAGCCCTGAAAGTCTACCAAACAACTTTATACTGTACAAGTTTTGTAGAGTAAATTTCACTTTATCTTATACCATTAAAACTGAAACTGTCGCTCAAGTACTAGTTGTTGGCATACTTTTGAACCTTCTCAAACTTAAGTTTTGTGCTTTACTAGATATGGACATCATGTTGGAACTGCATACTCCAGGATTGGTCTCACACATGTGGTATACAGGGTTCTAAATGATTGCTTACACAAGTCTAAAGGCAGATCTTATGTTGGCCAACCTCGCATATGCAGCTGATGATGATGCAGTCCCCCCGTGGTGAAGTGGCAATACACTTGCCTGGCACTTCACGAACGCTTCGTATCCTGACTGGGGAGGATTTACTTGGTGCCAATCCTTAACTGTAGCCTCTGTTAACCCAGCAGTGAATGGGTACCTGGTTATTAAATGATTCAGCGAGTCTTATTCCGGGGAATATTAGGATTAAGGACTTGCCTGAAATGCTATGCGTGCGTTACATACGTCGCTGTACAAGAATGTAAGAACTCTTGTACTGTATGTACTTATGTATATATACACATATATATATATATTATTACTTTTAATCGTAAAATACAAATTCAAGTACGTTTATTGAGACAATAAGATAGCACTCAAAAGGATAGAGTAGCTTAGGCTATTTCTACCATTCCCATAAAATACATATCACATATAATCATACATGAAATTAAACGTAACTACCAGTAATACAAAATACGTATTTGATGGACATTCCTTCAGTTTGTCCTAGTCATCTTGTAGTCTCTTCCTGTCTTCTTCTGTCTTAATTCTTTTCATAATTTTAGCATCTTCAACAAACTTTGAGAGAATGAGGCTATACAATTATTTGGGTATCGAACCTGGGTCCTTAAGACTATGTCCGCTCGGCTGTGTGTTTATTATATGGGAGGAAAGGGAGGGGGGGTAAGTTTAATTGCTTGTTTAATCATTTATCTGGCGCTGTAACATGGAGGCTTGGAGAAGCATGGGCTGGAGAGTGCAAGGGTTAGATGAAGTAAAGGTTAGAGGAACTTAAGTGAGGGGGAGAGGGCACACAAGTATGTCAGAGAAGGTATCTCAGCAACAAGGAGTGACCCCGCACCGTTGCTCATCTCACTCAGTTACCTATTATACTTCACACTCCTCCTCCTCTACACCCCCTTCCCTACACCTATCACTCTCCCCAACACCTCAAACGGCCAAGACAATGAAGAGTAAACATGGTTGGTGTTTATCAAGAGGATAAACCCTTCAAGGAAACTGCACGATACCATCAAAGTGTTTGTACCACTGTATGCGAACAAACACACCACACACAATAATTAGCTTAACCTAACAAGAAGTGCCTGTACTCAAATTGGAGAGAGTAGACCTACTAGCACAACACCCACCTCTACACCCCTCTTCCCCATTCCACAGTACTCTCCTGCACACAGTACATTATCCAAGCCCATGGGAAGATGCCTCGTAGTACCTTGAAGAGCTGATCAACCCCCAGGTGTTCTATGCCATGCTTGGTAATGCACCAGAGACCCAGTGAGGCCCAACTCCCTGGCAGGGCTCTGCAGTCCTGCCAAACCTCTCACTACCTCCACAATCTCTGCTCCATCCCCACTTCTCTCTCTTCTTCAACACCAATACCTTGGAATATACTATATTGTCTTTCTGCTCACTTCATCGAGGAAGGACAATTAACTAAAGAAACAAAGTATGGTGTACAAGACTGGTAAATTGAGAGAGCCATGTTAGTAGTGGTTCAGATAATAGTGCAGATAGCTTAATTCACTTACCATGCACATTATACCCATCCTGTGGGTGCTAAAGGAAAAGGTTAGAGAGACATGTAATAGGATGGGTAACAGCCCAAAAATTTGTTTAGCTAAGCAAGTTACAGCATTGATGGGCTAGCTACAGTTGAGGGCACTGTTCATATATATCTTATCAAACTACCATCATTATGACCGCAAGACGTCCCAACATTAGTTAGATTTAATCAGTGTATTCACCTATTTGTACTCTCCTATTTGTGCTTGTGGAGGTTGAGCTATGGCTCTTTGGTCCCGCCTCTCAACCGTCAATCAACTGGTGTACAGATTCCTGATTCCTGTGTTATGAACCCCCGTGCTCATGTACTCCCCTTGTGTTTGTAGGGGTTGAGCTTCGGCTCTTCGGTCCCACCTCAAAGGGTGGAGGTGACAACAATGTTAAGAGTTAATAATGGGTCCAAGCGCTGCACCTAGATGAACGTGAAAGCTTAGCAATTTATATTTGTTAGTTATACAGTTTGAATTTGCCTATTATGTACCCCACAAGTATCTAGTGGGCTGGGGTACAAAGGTTATGGTCGCCTGTGTGTATTACCCACTGTACACAAAATTGAGATCATTAGCCAAAATTCCTGGTAGTACATCATATTGAATGAAATATTTGCACCCTTTTTGAACATTTGTAATAGAGCTCTCTAAATTCTTAAATTGGTACACCTTCCATCACAGAGCAATGTAGAGAGTGCTATTTGAGGAGTTTTAACAGCCTCTAACACTGTTGCCTTAATTAAATTTTCTTCGGCTCATTTGTGCTTCCAGCTACCATCTGGATTGTATCTGGAGAGCGAGTTCTTCTATTCCTGCTTTCTCTAACTTTGGAAAGGCTGTCCCTATCCACCTTCTCTATTTCCCCTTAGTAACTTATATACTGTGATCATGTCCCCCAGTTTCTTCTATTTTCTAGGGTAGTGAGAGTTAGTTCTATTAGCCTATCCTCATAGCTTAATCCTCTTAAGCTCTGGCACCACCAGTCTTGTTGTAAACCTCTTTACTTTTCAACTTTGGGTTTATGCTTCATGCAGAGGGTGGCAGTAGGTGGTGGTAAACAAACCAGAGGACCAGTGGTAGTGAGTGGTCAGTGAGTGGTTCACCTTGGCGAGTGTGTGCACCCCTCTGGCACCAGCCTCTCACCTCTTCCCCGTCCCCCTCCCTCTCTTCATCCATCTCCTCCCTGGCCATGGAGGACACAGAAAAATGTATATATATATATATATGCTGGTTAGCGCTGTAAATGATTAGCCACGTCCGTGGTAGAAAATACACTAAAACTGCCCTTGATCTTTTCCCCAATTATCATCACCTGTCTTCCCATGCCCTTATCCATCGCATCCCCCCCCCTTCCTTCCCTTCATCCGTTTCCTCCCCTTCCTTTTTATCCATCCTATCCC